TCGTTCATGTTCGATGGCTCCGTGTTGGGGGATGCCTGAAGGGGCTCCGGGGAAGTTCCAGCGCCTAGCAGAATACCCTGAACCCCCAAGCCCTGTTTCATACTATTGCAACTAGTGTTATTCTTAATACCTTTATTCGTATTCCTATGTTGTTACTATTACAACTAGTATTATTCTTATTACTAGTATTAGTATTTCTACTATTCCCATTATTACTATTACTACTATTATTACTACTATTGCTATTATTACTATCTATATTATTGAAACCCTAAACCCTAAACCCTAAAGATCTTGTTGTTATTATTACTAATATTGCTAATCCCCTTAAGAGAGAGGTTGATGTTGGGGTTCCCCTTTCTCGAACTCTCGGAGGCCATGCGGGAGGTGGCCTTGCCAGGAAGAAGCCGACTGGAGGCTGGGTTCCGGTTGAGGAATTTAATCTATGGGTATATAGGGTTTAGGGTTAGGTATATAGGGTTTAGGGTTTAGGTATATAGGGTTTGGGTATATAGGGTTTAGGGTTTAGGGTCCATAATGGATATCTATAGTAATTAGTAGGGTTTCCCCAATAGAGTAACTTAACTGAAGTTCCTTAACAGCAGCCCAGGAGGACATGCAGCAGAAGCCTTATGATCCTCACCTGCAACTCCCTCATCAGCACCTGGAGTTTTTTGGCAAATGGCAGTTTCCAGGAATTCCGGGGATTCTCATAGAGAGGATTCTGGTACTTTGGGAAATCTAGGAAATCTCCAAACAAATCTTTTCTGTGAGCATTCTTCCCATATTCTAAGCTACAAAAAAATGTTGTTGTAGGGCCTGCAATGGTCTAGCTTGAGGCATCATCTTCTCCAACCTCCTAGTGGGGCAAGCTCCCCTGGCCACCTATCCCGGGTGGCTTCCAAGCAGAGTACAGCCCGCTTTGAGATCAACGTCCACGACATGAGCAGGAGTGCCCCCATGCAAAGTTTACGTCGGGCGGTCACCCTGAATCCTGTAGAGCCCCACATGGAGACGGCCCCCTACCACTTCACGGACACGAGCTTTGCGGAGCACCGGCCACAGCTGCCGGCCCAGGTGCTGGATGCGTCAGCTTCTGACTCCGTCAGCTCCTTCTCCAGCTCCCCAGCGGCCGCGTCACCTTTATGGCCTTCCTGGAGCCAAGTGCACACCCCGGACCGGCTTGAGAAGAGCCCCAGCGCGCGTCCGACGTCGAAGAGCACAAGCCCTCAGCCCGCTACGAACCTACTGCACCTGACCTGACCCTGTGCTTCAAACACTCGAGTGCAGAATTTTCTTGGAAAGACATCCAAGGTGCAGGTGCAGGGCAGGCTTTCACCCAAACGTCGCCCAACGTGGCACGTGCAATACTTCATGATGAGTGATAAAAGTGCCACCAATCACCAGTCATTAGCGGTTGGCAGAGTTGCAGTAAAAACCAAACTTTCACGGCATGAATTTCCAGGAGCTGCATAGCGATTTCAGCAGCAGAGTGGACACTGTTCAATATGGCCGCGTGGTGTTTTCAGGGTTTCACGCCCCATGTGCAAAGCTCGGGGGCTTTGATGTTTAAGAGTCTCTGTGACCCGCGCGCGCAAGGCAAAAGAATGTGCATGGATGCTTACGCAGCAGCTCCCTCTCTTGCATGATTGACGTTGCCGTGCTGAAGTGCTGGTCCTCTAGGTGATCAGATTGACTAACTAGATGCACTGGTTTTTCCTGCAGAAGCAGCAGGCCAAATGCCAAGGGCACTAGACATGGCTGCAAGCAACTGCAGAAATTTGACTGTCGATGGCAGCGGCTATCATCCTTGCGTCCTGCAAATCTTGGTGATCCAAAAGCTTGAAGAGAATTTGCTCTCAGCATCCTTCTTAACCCACTCCCTCATCATTCAAAGCACTGCATCACTGCTGAGGCATGGCTGGCATTGCTTTAACCAGGTGTATGACGCCTACATGAGCCACTTTGCAAGGTACAGTTTCCATGTCTGGGGGGGATTCTTTACTTGCAGGCTTGAACATGGAACCCCATATGAGCTACATAGGGGACTATTAGAGGGGCTATAAAGGAGAGAGGTAGTCAACGAAGCATCAGAGGTACCTAACTTCGCGAGCGGGGTGGGGGTTGGGATTCGACTGAAGGGGCTTGGATTAAGGGCACACCTGTCTTCTCAAAGATCACCCCTTTCTGGCGCATTTTTTCTGAAGAAGACTGAAGCAACACAGGTGGGGTTGGTCACTTATGCTGTGACTTGTGGCGCTGGAAGGTACTAAGGGCGAAGGCCGATCAGGGCTGAGGGACACTAAGAGCCAGATGGCTACTGAAGATAGGACGGGGCGGGGCGCTTGAGCACAAGCTAGGGAGAGTATAATGAGGCATACAGGAAGCCCAGCCCAAACTTGTTGATGATGACAGGCTGCATGAAAGGGCCTCCGCAACCCAACCACTTAGTGTGCCCCCACTGTCATGAAACTAACTCCCCCCAAAAGCTCATGATAAGAGTGGCAGCCATTTTGAGACGAAAGACTATATTACAGCAAAGGCAACTTGAAGAAGGGCTTCACCATCCGGCACCTTGATTGCCTTTGAGGGTGGGTTGCTGTTGAGGTGGAGCAGCCCGTTGTTTTTTTGACGGTGAAAGAGCTTTGGGATGTGGATTCTTAGATTTGTGGCTTTCTCGCGGTCTTTGTGGTGGGTGCCCCAACATGTTGGGGGACCCGTAAACCAGAGAGACACGTTTGCAAGTTCCGCAAGTGCACCACAAGGGGTACTGCATTGCTGCTATTTGAAGAGTGGCCCCTCTGTGGGCATGTCTCCAGCGTCTGTCACGGGAAAGGATTTTTCTAACTTTTCTTGCTGCCGTGGCTTACATTAGTTACGGACGTGGACATCAGGAAGTGATCTCTATTACTATTATTGTGCGTCAGGGATTTTACGCAGAGACTGGTGGTCTCAGGCTTAAAGAGCGTGAGGCTGCACAGTAGCTTGAGAGATTCATGTTGCAGGCTTCAAGACCCATACAGCTCAAGCGGCCTCGCAGAACACGTGAAGCGATGGTGTTACACAACAACCCTCAGCAATGGACAGGTCAGAAATCATGGTCGCATCACACAGGCAGCATCAATCCGAGAAATATCCACGATATCACAAAGTCTTAGCTTCTGCATCCTTGGCGAAATATGATGCGGGAATGACAGTCATGGGCCCTTTAGCTCGCAAAGAGGCGGGAAACCAGTACTGCAAGGAGGGGAAGTGGCATGAAGCTGCGGTGGAGTACACCAAAGGCCTTGATGAGTGTGATGAGAACAGCCCTCCGGATCAGAGAGGACTTCTGCTTGCAAACCGGAGCCAGTGCTGGCTGAAGCTGAGTAATTTTCAGAAAGGGCTGGACGATGCCAACGCTTGTCTGGAACTGCTGCCAGAGCATGTGAAGGCTCTCTTCCGCCGCGCGACTGCGCTGGAAAAGCTTGGGCGAGACACGGAGGCCCTGTCAGACTTCGCACGTGTAGCTCGTGTGGATCCCGGGAACCGCATGGCTGCAGAGGCGGCGAAGCGTCTCCGTGTGGCAGTAGCACAGCGCAGTGGGCAGGCCCTGGAGCAAAGTCTCCCCTCACGCCTGGCTGCGGCGCTTCGGACACCTTCGGCCCAGGAGGAGGTGCAACAGGACGCTTGCGAGAAGGTCCGTGCGGCAGCACTGCGGGGTGAGTCATCCTCGCTTCTCAGCCAAGGTGTGTTGGAGGCATTGCTAGACGTAGCCTTGGCTGAGCAGACTTCACCAGAACTTCGCACTGCTTGTCTTCGAAGCCTTTGCATTATCGCATCGGGCAAGGAGCGTGAGGACTTTGAGATGGAGGATTCGCAGCAACGAGGGCAAGGAAACGAAGTGGTTTTGACACCGGCAGCAAAGGAAGCCAGGTCACGTCTCTCCAGCGCGCTCCGCGCAGAGGCCCATTCCAAGCTGCGGCATTTGGGACAGCGGTGCCGCGGAAATAAAGGTGCTCTATGTCAGCTTTGCCTTCTGATGAGCTACAGTCAAGAACCAGAGGATGAGGCAGCGCTTCAGCTGCTGGCAGAGGCTGTGGATGACGACGAGACCACTGTTTGCAAGGCTGCGTTGGCATCGTTGAATGCGATCTTCGACTCACGGCGCCGGCAGGGCACCCTAGGCAAAGCTGTTGTCTTCAGCCAGAGCCTTCGCTGCTGCTTAGAAGCTGCACTCCAAGTCACTGACCACGAGGAGCTTGTGCACGGCCTTCTGGCAGAGGTCTTCACCCTACTGGCAGACAACAACGACCGACCTGCTGAGCTCCAGGTGGACGTCCCAGGCATCGGCATACAGCTTCTGGAGCCTTTTCTTCAGTCCCAGGACGGCTTGCTGCGGCGCAACGCCCTGGCTGGGCTTGCCTGTCTTTTGGCCACTCGTGCCAAGGATGCGGCGCTGATCTTGCAGATGTCTGCAGTCCCCCTCTCCACAGTTCTCAATGCGCTGGCCCGACCAATGCCAGGTCCAGAAGGCCGGGAGTCCCAGGGCCACGCAGCCGAGTGCCTGTTGCTGGCAGCCAGCGATGCGAGGACGAGACAGCGGTGGATTGACGGGGGAGGCATTGATGTTATCCTCAATGCGCTGAGTAACACAGATCGCGGGATTCGCCGTGAGTTGGTCGATGCCAAGTTGGTGGCTGTGTTGGCCATCATGGCGGCTCACAGCAAGGATGTGCGAGACGAGATCTTCGACAGGGTGGATTTCATGATGGAGCTGCGCTTTGCTGTGGATGTGGCTGGTGAGCGTGCTCGTGCTGCAGAGACCAAGGAGCAACAGCGCCAGGCCCGACGCTTATGTGCCGGCCTCTATGAAAGTTTCGCGGTGCTTGCGATGCATGGGGAGTTCAAGGAGCAGCTCTCTGTATCCAAGAAGACCTTGGGAGCCTTGCAGACATTGGCCAAGGAGGAGGATTTGGGGGAGGACCCAGCCATTAGCTTCTACTTTGCCTCTCTCATCTACAACTTCTGCAGGTCACGTGATGACAAGGTTCGGATGAAAACAGGCAACCCAATGATCGACGAGCTCAGCGGGGAGGACTTCAAGGCACTTGAGGACTTCTACCAACGGATGCCCGCAGAAGCAAGACCGATGCGAGCAGGCGAGGTGGACGCCGGCCCGCCTCGTCTGGCAACGCGCTTTCGCAGCTGGTGCGTGGATCGAGGTGATGCCACTGGTGCGGCGCCTATCGTGGCAAAGCTTTGCCGCTGTGCGGCTGGCTCCTTGCAGACCAAGGTGCTCGTGGCTGATTGCCTGAGGCTGCTGTGTGCAGACCAGAGCGATCGGAAGATCGTGGCTGCCAGCGGGGGGATCCGGACACTCCTTGCCCTGTCAAACATGCAACAGGACGTGCGCGAGGCTCGTGTATCTCGTCAGGATGCTGAAGAAAGCACCCGAAATGCAGCCAGGCAGG